TTTTTAAAGCATGGAGATGTCAACGAAGAAAGGACCTATTCAAATTCTTAGCCATAAATCTTGAATTTTTTGTAGTCTTTGAATGTTGGGTTTTCTCTTGTAAAACCATATATATATATATATATATATATATCAAACAAATAAAGAGAAACCAAACCAAATCTGGGTTCCAGGTTCTTACAAGCCAACAAATCTGGGTTATTACATCACTAGAACTCAACAAATGGTAAAGGGGATCGCCTCAACCCAATCCTTGCCATGCCCTCGACCTCACTAACAAAACCCACCATGGGTGAAGGGAAAATGAGGAGAAGAAAATAGGAGAGAGATCCATGGAGGAGAAGAAGAGAAAAGGCAAGATCAACACATATTAAACCTTGACGTGCAAGCCTCATCAAACAACCAAGCTCTCTCGTCGTGGATAAAAGATCAGGTGGGCTAGTGAGGAAGATCAAGTGAGGGAAGAAGGATGAGGAAGAAGAAGGGATGGGGAGGGCAATCTTGAAATTTCTCATTAAAGTCATTATTGTTAGAGGTAATTGAGGGGTATTAAAGTAATTAAATACCAAATCCACATCATTTAATTTAAAAATTACCATATAGATTTAAAAAATGCCATATCACCTATTTAGTTTTCGCCTAATATTTAATATTAAAAAAATTAATTACTTAACGAAAGATTTAGCAATCTCATCACTCAACTAATAGGACAAATTTGGTAAAAAAAAGAAGTTTTGGGGCAATTTTGGATCAAAATGGAAAGTTGAGGGATCAAATGGGTAGTTTAATCAAGAAATAAAAGAAGAAAAAAAAAAGCAAAAACCCTTCTTAAGCCCTCAAGTTTACCCCAAAATAACATTTAAATCTCTTAGTTAAAAATGAAGTATATAAGCTTTCCAATTCTACTAATGATACAAATAAACTCTTCTCACAAACGAGTTAAACGATGTATTTCATGGTAGACTAACTCTGTATATTTTTTGGACTTCCACAAATCCATGTAGATACATATGCTGATGTAGCAGTACTCCATGTATAAAGGGATCAAAGTACTCATTGCATAAAACTTAAAGGACTAAATCTGTAATTTTACCATTAAAGAATTAGCATAAGGAGTTAGAAACCCGGCACGTGTGTGGTGTCAGCACCATGTGTTAAGCCTTTACTAAATCAGTTTGGCTGAAATAACTAAAAGTGCATACATCAGAAACACATTCAGCGTTAATAATTTTTTTTGTCCAAAGTTTTACTTCATCTAAATCATTTAATTTGAAATGTTTATATAAATTTAGAATTAATTAATATTGATAATTAATTAGTCTATAATTTTTGTGAAACAATATTTAATTATTATTATATTATTTGAACTAATTAATACTTTTATTAAAGTAAAATTAACTTATCAGTAATCTAAATAGATTTTACTTAAATAAAAACAAAGACAAGAACTAGGAGTTTGAATCATATATATATAAGATTAGTGTATATCAGTTTTAACTCTAAAAAAAATTAAAATCCTAACTTATATCTAAAAACTGAAATTCTAATTTAAAATTTAAAAATTCACTCAGTTTTTAAATTTAAATATTAATATTTAATAACATAATTTTTTAAATTTTTAATTAAATTTTAATTAAATAAAATGATATAATTTAATGTTAAAATTTTAATTTTCTTAAGAATCAAAACAGATATACATTATATATATATAATAAATAAAACTTGAATAAATTTTACTTAAATAAATACAAACAAAAAATCTGTAGTTAAAAAATAAAAATAAAAATTTGAATTTAACGTTTTTATCCTGTCAACTTATATGTATACATGGAATGGCGCCATGTCAACATATATATCTATGTGAATTAGTGGAAGCCCGAAAAAGAAATA